ACTTCTATTCTTCCATCCCTCTCCCCTTATTGTGTGTCGTTAGCATCCACATATCAGAGGGAACATTCTGCCTTTGGTTTTTTTGGGAATGGTTTATTTCATTTAGCCTGATAGTCTCCAGTCTCCATCCGTTTACGGGGCAAATGCCATAATGTCATTCTTCTTTATGGCTAAGTCATACTCCATTGTGTTTATATATCACATTTTCTTGGTCCATTCATCTGTTGAAGAGCACCTAGGGTTCTATGGATTTGCTATTGTGAATTGATTGGCTGCATCTCTGTAGTATGCTGATTTTTAAGTCACTGGGATATATGCTGAGGAGTGGGATAACTGGGTTGAATGATGGTTCCATTCCAAGTTTTCTGAGGAACCTCCATACTGCTTTCCAGAGTGGTGGCACCAATTTGCAGTCCCACCAGCAATGTATGAGTGTGCCTTTTCCCCCACATCCTCGCCAACACTTATTGTTACTTGTATTCTTGACATTGCCATTCTGAGTGAAGTGAGATGGAATCTCAGTGTAGTCTTAATTTTAATTTCTCTAATTGCCAGAGATGCTAAACATTTTTTTCATATATTTGTCGACAATTTGTATTTCTTATTCTGTGAAGTCCCTGTTCAGTTACTTTAACCATTTATTGATTGGGTTATTATTATTATTATTATTATTATTTACTTATTTTGTTGTTAAGTTTTTGAGTTCTTTATGTACCTTGGAGATTCATGCTCTTTTCTGAGGTGCAGGTGGCAAAGATTTTCCTCCTGTTCCGTAGGCTCTCTTTTCACTTTCTTGATTTGTTTCCTTTGCTGTGAAGAAGCTAAGAAACCACCTTTTTAGGTGTGAGTTTGAGCCCAGAACAGAAGATGGACACTGTCCACAAATTATCACTGTCTGTTGAAATCCTCACTATTATCATCTTAATTTTCTTCCTCATCCCAAAACATGGGGAGCACCATTTGTTAAAGACCTAGAAAACATCGGGTCCTGTACCTTGTGCTTTGTACGCATTTTCCAACTCGTCTTCACGGTAATTCCTTAATGCAAGCGATGCCTGCCCAATATTACCACTGAGAGAGGAAACAGAGAAACTGAATAATTTGCACCAAGCGCACACACCTGGGGGGTTGATTCACAATCCGCCTGAGTCCACAGTACTTTCGGTTTCACCAAATGTTGAGGAAGAGGCTAAGGATCGCTTTAATGGAAAGAAGCCGAGAGAAATGCCAGCGTCCAATTGAATGCCATGTTTTTATGGGAGATCAAGGGAGGATGAGCAGAGGGACAAATAGCTCTTTGAACCCCATGAGCTAAAATGAATGGGTCTTTCCATGGGGTCCGTGGACTTAGCAGTTACCCCTGGCAACAGAGACCTGCAGCTGGACAAGTGAAGCCCCTGCTCCTTCCCTGAGGATGGCAAAGGCCACTCTGGGAAGCAGCCATTGTTCCAAACACTGCAGCTGCTTACCTCCCCTCTCTCTCCTGCACATTCCCACCCACTCGCTGGGAGGACCCAGGAGCCTAGGGGAGAGGAAGCTTCTCCCGGGCCATGGGCTGCCCTAGGGACATCTGGGGCTCTGAGCTGCCCAGGATCTGCTCCCTCTTCCTGTGTCTCAGACTCCCCATGAGGGTTCCTGCCGCTGCTCCAGCTCTAGGATGGCACTTCATCCAAGCCCAGCCAATCAGAGAAGCTGTTCAGTGGGCTATAGTGACTGGTTCAGGGAAGATCATGTGACATAAGCTGGACTGGTCAGACTCCTTCCTGGGGCTTTTAATTTGGATGAGAGAGAGAGAGAGAGAGAGAGAGAGAGAGAGAGAGAGAGAGAGAGAGAGAAATTTTGTGCCAATCTGGTAGAATGGGAATTTGGGGCTGCCAAGGATGACCTTGCCTGCCATGTGGGTGGAGCCTGGATTAGACAGGTAGGAGGGGCCCCAGCGAGTACCACCACCACTGAGTCAGCCCTCTTGCCTGGACACAGGGACTTTCCAGCTGTATGTCCCCAAATCTTTCTCATTTTGCTTAAGCCTGTGTGAGATAGACTTTGCCACTTCTAACTGAAACCAATCCTGACAAATGACCCGTCTTCCCAAGCAGAATGTAAGGTCCTTTGTGCAGGACCTTGACTTCCTATGGAAATTTATCTTCTCCCAGGGTAGCTCCTGTGGCCCAGCACCTCTGGGAGGATCCACCGCTCTGAGTCCCAGAGTTGACACTTCACTCCATTTTCCTTCAGAGGCACTGACCCACAGGAGACAATTCCTGAGGAGAACCCCACGCAGCCAGCAGAGAACCTTATGCATATGTAACAGCAGTGCACCCCACAAAGAGACTTACAGAGGAGCCCTCACAGGTACCAGGCAGTGAGTCTAGATGCAAGCCCACTGACTGCTACCTGAGCACTCCAGAGAGGGCAGCAGCCATACATCCCCCCACCATGGGCCATGGAGCACCACATCAAACATGTATAATACCTCCACCTTAGAGCGCCACACCCTGCACACTCTGAAATTCATACAGGGTGGCCCACGCTGGAGCTGACAGTGCTGCGTACCAGAGCTGTTCTTCAGGAAGGCACACAAGTCTGTAGCCCCCTAACAGGGAAAATACAGGCTGCTAGGTCAAAGATTATTAGGGAACACCCCCTCCAACCCAACAGAAAGCAAGGAGGTGCCCAGACACACAAAAGATTGCAGGGGTCCTCCAAGAACTGCACCAGAGGTGAGCTGGTGTGATCATGACCTCCGCACCCAGGGAACATGGAGGGTTCAAGGGTGGTGGGTACCTGCTAAAAGTCCCCAGGCCTGAAGAAATCCAAACCAGGAAAACTCGGTAAGAAAGTCCTCCACCTTGGCATGAATTATTTAAATAGCTACGAAGTCAAATTTGGCCTTCCACGTAATGATTTTCATTTTGAATTGATAGATGTTCCCCTATTAGTCACTATTGCTCTTAACTCATTTGATGGCATTTCTCCTAATGTTTTAAAGCAATCGTGGGAATCCTTCTCTCTATTGCTGTTTTCCCAGCTCGAGTTCATTCTTAACTCGTGTGAATCTCCCTTTTCCCTCTTGCATTACCTACCTGCCTCTGCCTCAAATCCCCCCTCATCTCTTTCTTCTTTTTACCTTGCTTTGTATTATTCTTTTCTATCTTTCTTTTTCCCTATGCCCATTTTTTTCTCTCCGCCCCCCCTTTTAGCCCCTACATAATATAATAGCAATTTTACTATCTTCAATAACTAATTTCTCAACTTATTCCAGAATGTTACTACGATTTTACAGCTAGCTTAGGGGAACTGTGGGGAACACTTTCAATGAGTGTGTTAGTGCTCAGCTTTGTTCTGTAGTGATCTTGGTTAATAAGCCTTAGCATCTCCTCTCCAGGTGGTGCTGATACTGGGGACAGAGAAGATGCGCACTGAGTGGAGGTATCAACACCTGGACATTTGCCTAACCCAGGGACTATAGGAAAAAGGATCTCACTAAATAGCCCCTTGCATAAAAGTAGAGGAAAGACTCATCCCAGAAGATAGGCAGACATACAAACAACCTGAGGAAGCTAGGGAAAAACCACCCCCAACAGCCCATGGCACTTCAGCAACTGATCCCGGGGACATCGCCAAAGAGGAATGTTGGAAAAGGAGTTTAGAAAGCTCAGAGTTAAAATGTTCAACGAGCTAAAAGAAGATGTATGGAAGGAACTTAGAAAACACAAGAAGTGAAAGATCATTTCAATAAAGAGAGATTCTGAAAGAGGACCAACCAGAAATGCTGGAAATGAAAGACCCAATAAATCAAATTAAAAATTCAGGTGAAAGCATCACCAGTAGATCAGACCACATGCAAGACAGATGGTCGGGCCTGAAGACACAGTATATAATCCTGAAAAAAACTAAGTTGACCATAAAGAAAAGATGTGAAGAGACCATGGCTGGAGTATTCAAGAAATCTGGGGAAAGAGTAAGAGACCAAATGCACCAGCCTCCACTTCCACACCAGCAAATGCCCTCATCCTCGTTTTCAAAACCGTCCAAATGGCAACCCTTGAACATGGCTCAGCAAACACAGGGCTCAGCCAGGGATTTCCAGCATGTTCTCTGGGATGTGCCGTTTGTCTGTGTGTAAACAGAGCAAGAGTCTGCAGGGGAGAGTTGGGCCTCTCTGACTCCCTGAGAATGTCTGAGGCACAGGGAAGCTTTCTAAAGTAGCTTCTTTCCTACTTTTTAAAAACACTTGAAAAGACTTGAAAAGACCAGCAAGTGTTCGCTGTGACAGGGCCAGGAGGTGCTAATTGACTAATAACGCTCCCCCACCTGCAGTCGACATGGTCTCTGTCCTTGTTTCTTCTCCCAGTTGACTTGTGAGGAGCAGAGGTTCAGTCCAAGAGGTAACGAGCACTAAGAAAAACCCACTGAAGATTTGTGTTCCCCTTTCTCTTTTTCATACACGCACACACAAACATGCCTGCATGCACACACACGTCCCCTACAAACACGCAGGTGTGTCGGATGTTCAGCTATGGATAATATTCACTAAAGTATACACAAGCACCAACAGGAAGTTACAGTCAACAGCCTTCAGCACATGCACCAACATTCACGTCCACACGTGCATATACACTCGTCCACGAGTGATCTTATGCATCTTGACACACAAGCAAACCAATCCATGGGCTTATCCACTTATAAACCCAAATAGAGAACTTAAACATGCCTGCACCAATGGATCTGCACACACAAATCCAAACACACAGCCATGCACAGACATGTCACATACAATTTACAGTTCACATACATGTGGGCTTACACATAAAACCTGAGATGCACCTATACATAAAAACAGGACAAAAGCCGCCCCCCCCCAGTCATGTGTGCAACTGTGGGCACAGACTGGACATATTTCATGTGCACAAGCACTTAGAGGCACTCACACAACATACACGGATTCACTACCTTGCACACATACATGCAGAAATGCAATCACCGCGTGCAGACCTCACCCTGAAGGGCTTCACGCCGCTTTACTGAATGACCAGGTTAAAAAGCACAGTTGGTAAAGGGTCAGAGGTGCATTCTGCTTCTACTTTGTGTTTTCTCTCCGATGACATGGAAAATCAATTGCAGTGGAATAGGTAAAGTAGTCAGAAAATAAGATGCAGACTCCCTGGAACTCTGGTATTCATCTCTGCAAAGAAATGGAGAGAGTCCGAGGTGAGGCTCCATGGGGAGCTGGCTCTGGGCTCTGGAAATTCATGAATCCTCACCAAGGGGGGTCTGGGACGGCTCCCCAGCGTCCCATAAGTCAATACTAACAGCATCCTCCAGCTTATGATTCCTTCTGACTTTGGGGGAAAGTGGCTTCCCATGTCTGTTCCCTTTTCATTCTTAAACCTGACACAGGTGGAACGGGCAGGTGCCATGCTGCCATTTTAGGGGTGACAACTGCTAAGATGTAGCAGCTGGTGGCCATCATGGTCTCTGGTGCCCAGCACTGGGCTGTGCTTCACTCAATTCACCCCAGCAACAACCTCAGGGGGGTAAACATACAATCATAGCCATTTTGCAACTGAATAAAATGAGGGTAAGAGCAGTAAGAACTTGCCCCAGGTCACTATTGTGAGGCTGTTATCACCCCCATTGGCTTTGGAAAGACAGCCTCAGGGGGTGGTAGATCCTGGGGTGCTTTAGAATCACGAGTTTTTTTAAACAGTCTTTTTTAGCGAGCATTGCCAAACCCACTTCACAAGACCAGACTGGCTCTCTTCTTCTGATGGCTGGCCTCTGTCCCAGGGGACAATATTCCACGGGAAGTCACAAAAGAAGGAAAAGATGGCCAACGTTCAGGCTGTTGACCACACAGTTCCTCAGCCTCAGCCACTGTTGATATTTGGGGCAGGCAATCCTTGGTCACAGGGCTGTGGTGTGCATTGTGGGATATTCAGCTGAACTCTGGTCTCCACGCACCAAACGCAGGTGACACCTCTCCATCAACTGAGTCAACCCAAAAGGTCTCCGATCGGCTTGACTGCAAACCAGGGGACTACGAGTTTCTTGAACACTTACTATGTGCCAGACATGAGCAATGTATTTCAATGCACTTGCTCTTCCCAACGGCTCTGAGTAGATACCATTAAGCTCCCTGTTCTCTAGGTGAGGACCTGAGGCACTAGGAGGTTGATAAGGTTACAGGGAATCCTCCCCCGTCTTCTCCTATTGTTCCCATAACAGCACCCACTATTAGGCTCTTAGCCTCGTCCTGGCCCCCACACTGTATTTTATATCATCTACATTAACTTCCCATCACTCTCTGCAATGGCCACCACTAACATCTCCATCATCCACTAACATCTCTATCACATGAGTAAATAAACAGAGGTCCATCTGGCAAAAGAGAGAGCTGGGGTTTGAACTTGTGTCCAAGTGACTTGGAGCTTCACTGGTCACCAGGTCTAAAGTATCACTGCAATAGCAGAGAGAAAATATTAAACTCCAGGGTCAGAACAGATGTTGTCATGGTGAAACACACTTTCGTGAGCCTTGAAGCCACAGAGTAACTAGGACATACAGGTCTGTTTACCGTTACATTGCTACAACTTTTATAAACCAGGAAGCTGTTATGGTCCAGGCCTGTAATCCCAGCTGTTCAGGAGGCTGAGGCAGGAAGATCACAAGTTCAAGGCCAGCCTCAGCAGCTGAGTGAGGCCCTAAGCAACTTAGTGAGTCCCTGTCTCTAAATAAGATTTTTTTTTTTCAAAAGGACTGGGGATATGGCTTAGTGGTTGAACCCCAGGAGTTCAATTCCCAGTACAGAGGAGGAGGAGGAGGAGGAGGAGGAGGAGGAGGAGGAAGCAGGCAGGCAGGCGATGGAGTCAGCCTGAATTTAAAAACTTAATCAACCACATATCACATATGACCAGACAAGTAACTTGGATTCTCTGAGTTCCAATTTCCCCATTTTTTAAACATGTCAAGTAAAAATCTCTGAGAGCTATGGTAAGGATTAAATGAACACATATTCGATATTCCATGTTCGCATAGTGCTTGCTTACAGTAGGCACTTAATAAATTTGAGTTATCACAAGCATCCCTAGAACGTTCTAACTACACAAAAGTTATAATATGTGTGTTTATTCCTTTACTTACCAAACACTATCAACCAGACTCACGCCAGAATACACTAAACACTAGCTTATTTGATCAACTTGTGACCCCGGTATTTTTATTATCTCCTGTTTTATAGACAAGGAAACTGAGTGACAGAAAAGTTAAATGACTTGGTCCCAAAGGGACATAGGCACTAGGTTCCAGGATTCAATTCTGAACAGTCTGACTCCAGAGTCTTAACTAGTGCATCAGCCCTCTGCTCCCTTAGGGGTTAACCGGTGGATCTGTCTTGAGAGTGTATGGTTTGGTACTCAGCTCTCCCTCCAGCACCTAAAACAATAACTGACACATAGTAGATGTTCAATAAATATTGAATGCTTGAGTAAATGAAGAAACAGTGTGTACTCAACAAATTCTTTTTGCATCCTCCTCCCCTGTTGTTCCTAAGGAGCCAGAGAAACTTGACTTCAAATCTCTTGCCTTCTCCTTCAGTCTGAGAGTTTGCAAAAAAAAATTTGTCCAAACTACATGCAGTCGTGGGTCATCCGTGAAGATGACTTCAGATAATCAGATCAAAAACACAACCACCATATGTCAGTGCAATGGATTTGTCTGGAAAAGGCATTTGGCTGGAATTTCATCCCAACCCCAAGACCCTCTGAGACCAGGGAGAAGCTTGGCTTGGTGCAGAACAGGACTTTGAGCACAGGGATTAAATGGTGATTAGAACATGCCCCTGGCCAAGCTGCCTCTTAACAAGGTTCATTTGGGGGCGTGGATAGGGCGGTTATTAATGTGTCCTGATGGCGACTGGGGCGCTGTTCCCGGATGGAGCAGTCTCGGGTTATTTATAGCCGCTTCTCAGGAGGAAGGTGGCACCGGGCGCAGAGCAGAGAGCCCTGCCAAGGTGCACTAATGGAACTTTGAGCATAATTTACTGCTCAAGTTCAAGGACTTTTGCAACAAGAAGGAGCCTCTCAAGCTCCCAGCAACCTCTGCACAGGGAGGAGGCTAATGTGACCGCGCGAGCGGGGCCGCTCTTGGAGCTTCGCCACCAGCTGGTGCCTGCGCGTGTTCCTGCAGGGTTTCCCCCTCCCTCTCCTGCTCCTGCGGGTCTGTCCTCAGCTCTGCAGCCAGAGGATCGCCACTGAACTGACCCGGGTGTGTCCTTCCGCTGTCAGAACCCTCCACCAGTCCCCGTTTGGCTCAGAAGGAACCCTCCAGACCCCACCGGGCAGGCCCCTCCCCACTTTCCCAACTCCTCTGCTCCCAGGTGCCCAGGCCTGCTCCTTTCCAGCTGCATCAGCCTGGGCAGCTCCTCCACCACAAAGGCCCATTCGCACCGCAGGGGGCGCGCAGTGCCCTTTCCTCTGCCTGGAACACACTTTTCTGACCTTTTTAAAAAGGCAAAATCCCAGAGCTTTCCTGCTCTGCTTTTCCCTGAAACTCTTTCCACAATGGGACGCAGTGTGTTGTGGCTTCTTGTTCTGCTCAGTAAAGTCCCCGCAAACGGAATCAGCAGATGCCCAGCCGCTGCTCTCAGGGGAAATGCAGGGTTAGGTTCCCTCCAGTTTTTGATGGTAACATTTGTGTCAACCAGTCAACCCCAAAGCTTGGTTGTGTGTGTGTGTGTTTCTGTTTAGAGACCCTTTATTTAATACACAGGGATTCACGAACTTTGAGCTCACAGCCAACGGTACTACAAGCTCATTGAACACTCAATTTCTTCCTGGAGGCACATCCCAGGCTTCTAGAGCTGAGGAACATGAGCTAGAACTTTAGCAATTTGTGTGGAGGCAATTTTAAACAGTGAAATCACCAACTCAAAGCACATGGGGAAGGTAAAACACACACACACACACACACACACACACACACACACACACCACAGAAAGGCCACCTCTTTGCGATATGAGAACTGAAGTAAAGAAGTCAGAGAGCTGCATTATCCTCAGCTGGGGATGTGTGCCCTGCGTGACTCCTGAATGCCACAGCTCCACCCTCGTCTAAAAATGAGCGTGAAAGCATCGTGCATATTGATTTGGGTGTGCAGCTAAACTTTAGCAAGTAAGCAAATTTTCTGATATGGACTCTGCAAATAGTGAAGGTGGATGGCTCATCTTACAGGTGTTTATTTCTCATCTGCTTCCTCCACCACAACAGGAAGCTCCAAGGGAGCAAGTGATTTTGTTGCATTCACTGCTGGGTCTCTAACAGCTAGCAAACAATATTAGTTGGATTAATAAGCCTGAAGTTGTGAACTTGACCAGATGTAGATTAAGAATCTTTATTTATACACAGGGATGTGACATGGTAATGCCGGAAAATATTTTAGAGGATTTTCAACCACTACTCACACACACTTTAAATGAGAAGCTAACACCCAGAGAGGGATGATATTAGCTCAAAATCACACAGCAAATTTGAGACAAAGCACACATGATTTTCTTAAGCCATGGCTCCGGATTCCTTCCATGTCAATATACTTCCAGCACATTGCAGAGGGGATGTTTGCTATTACAGGGAGGTCTCAGAGCACCTGGCTCAGCGTTTAGGACTAAGTGAGTGTTCAATAATTGCTGACAAGCTGGATTACGGAAAAGTTGGGAGGCATTCCCAGAAGGTCAAAGGGCAGCCTGAGCCTTCAGCCACAATCCATCACTCCAACTGAAACGACCAACTTGATTTTAAGCAGTAGATCTCCATGGATAAAGTTCATGGGGGAAAAAAAGAGTGTATCAGTCAGAACTTTGTGTTCCAGGTAATGAAAAAGTAAACTCAACTCAAACTGGCTTTACAATGAGCAGGAGAAAGAATTTATACCAATGAGGGTCCAGAGCTAGGGTGGGTCTCACACGTAGCTCCCTCCAGATTGAAAATATCGTTGGGTTTGCAGTTCCGCTGATCCAGTTTCCCACAGTTCTCAGAGGTGTGCCTTGCGGTCCCCAGAGTCTAAGGCTTAGCATCTACCCAAGGCAGCCTCCAGAGTGATGGCCAAAGACCTGAGTTCACCGAGACTGGGCCAGCTTTGGTCATGTGGCCACCCCTGAGCCCGTCACCATAACCAAGATGTGAGGCTCC